GATATATAATTGCTAAGTGTGATACGCTTGAATACTCTTGGTATTTCCTCCAGCTGGATCTCGCAGCAATATTAGCGACATTAATAATGTACTCTCTCGTAAGTCATTTCTCGTTATCGCAGATTCGAGAATTTCGATAACGGAGGAAAATAAATATGAAAACAAGGACGTGTGGGCATCGAGGAAAAGGCCTAGTGCTGAAAATAATTATAGCGCCCATAAAGATTGCAGGTACAATAATCATAAAGATCGCGGTAGCTATAAAAAAGACAAAGCTAGCTTGCTTTAACTTTCCGATCCATGTATCGTCTAAGGTAGAAATGTAGTCCGAGGGATCGAACGGCGTACTAACATTCGAGAGCAAAGGTCAAATTTATGACTAGCGAGTTTTATACGTGGGATACCAGAAATTTGTCGTACAACTTATCGATTCCATTAAATACTATTAGTGGGGATCATGGGAAAGATGTATACCTCGAGGAACTAAAATCAACTAGGCACGCTGCCTACCTGAGCATTCCATTCGACCGAACTATTTTGTTTTAGGTAAGCTCCCAAGAAAGCAGAGATCCTGCGTTCCAGATAAAGGACTCAATCTTCAACTTTCTTCCTCCTCGCACACGACCGAAAACAGACCATCAAATATTTCGAATGCATCGGCTGGACGTAGCGTATTCGTCTTCTGTACTCGTTTGGTCCCTCCGATATCTTCGTGAAACCCTCGAGACGTCTCCTAAGGTCCGTTGGGTGAACATTTTTCATCTTGTTCTTTCCTTCCCGGTTTCTTCGTTACTCTCTCGCTTCTGCTTTAGTCCCTTTTTTTATAAGAAAACTCGAATTTCATTCGTGGGGTCTTCGAAGAGACGTCGACCTCGTAATTCTAGATGGGCGACATCGATTTTCTCCTTGAAAATTAATGGACACGCTGACACGCGCAAAAAAAAAGTTATACCCCGTTCCACAGTGAGTTTTCTATGATCCTATCGCACGTCAATTTTGTCAAAGCGATTATATGGCTTCGTCGATGAGTCGCGCTGCATTTCTCTCTTGTTTTCCTCTTGCGTCTTCTTTTTTACTCAGCTCGATCCTATTTCATTCTTACATTTATTATAAATATAATAAAATGGTAAGAAATTTTAAGCTATCGATAATATAATAAGAAATAAAATAACAAATACGGGAAAAACAAATAACAAAAAATAATTTTTCTACGAGCATACATATTCAGCAGATATATATATATATATATACTAGCTATTTTTATATATTCGTTTATTTATAGAAAAAAGGAATTTCGTATGGTTCGTATTCTTTATCCCTAATCATCCACCATGGATCTTCCTAACACAATATTCTATACATATTTATGCGAGTTTTTCTGTTGATATAAAACCTCTCATTCCCGCAAACGTCTCTCATCCCCGATTCGATTCAACCATAGAATTTCAGTCTGGTTTCTCGAAGGGGAAAACGATACAGCAGCGGTGAGGGGCATCTTCGAGTTTCGTTGACCTCCTTGCGAAACGAAACGACCTTACAAGAGTTTCCTCTTAAGAAAAGCAACCCACGAGAGTGAATACGAGGGTTTGGAGAAAAAAAATATTCTACAGCTTGTCGGGCGAACCTTCGACGAGGTGCTTCTAGATGAATTCCGCAAGAAGAGAGCTGTTATACATCTGAGAAGGTTTCATCGAAATGTGCGTTGGAAACTCTTCAATTGCCAGTTTCCGTTTGATTAAGGATTGATTTCCGCGTTTCTAGAAAACAATCGTATTTTGGCGATACTGTACACTGCCGCACGTCATTAGCAGAAAGAGTCTCCAAAATGAGATACATTCGTGGGCGTAACATGCAACCGAGATTTTTGAGAACGAGTGCGTAACACATGTTACTGCGAAGCTGGCCAAGCCAGCTTCTTTTAGTCATTCCGAATACTACGGAACCCGTCTACCAGAAATGTGAAAAATCATGAATATGATTATGTACAAGAACAATAAAGTATTTCGAGAAATACTGTAGCAAAAAACTATAGCAAAAAATAAATTATCACTTTTTGTTTCTAATATTTGGTGAAAAGTTATTAATCCCTTGTAAATTTGTATAAGGAACAATCATTGACCCTTAATTTTTTGTGTGACTCACCAGAAATTCATCACATACTAAGTATTTTATGATGAATCATCATTAGTTGTCGCTACCATGTTTTTTTTTTTCGATAGCTGTTATGACGATCCATTTCGAAAAACGAAGGCGTAGGTTTTCAATCGTATACATAAGACCCTTAAAGAACCCGGAGACTATTTCGACGTTCTGTATCATGGACCATTCACCCCCCGCTGTTAAGCAGCTTCGTGGCGGCAGACAGGAGGGGGTGTGGCACCGGTACACCCCCCGGGATCCTGTGGTCATCCCCGGCTGTCGGCGGCCTTTAAAGCTTCGTGCACAACGAATGTGGCATTATGCAGACTGGAGGTTACACGTTAGGCTGTTACCGAACCGCCCCATAATGGGATAAAAATAACCGTGTTTATATAGGATTACGAGGCGATCATCTTTTTTATTCGAGACACTACATAAAACTGAGATAGAAAGAGAGTGCGCTGGAAGGGTACAATTTTTCATCTCCCTCGTGCTTGTTATATTATTGTCTACCTAGTAGGTTTCTCATTTATCGATTAGGAGTCAAATGACAGAGGGATTTGAACGGTAAGTCACGTCGTGTTACCATGTTGTCAGGATCAGATATGAGATTCCCAGTAATTATGAATAACGAATGCACGAGACAAGCACGAGGCCAAAATAGCCAATGATATAAATGGACACGTATGAAGAGAAAATTTTATTTGTTCGTATTTAAAATCGTTTAATCAATATTTTACTGTAAATAACTGTAGAGAACTGTGACAAGTCGACGGAAACACAAATAAATAAATTTCTCATAACGATATCACACCGGGTATTCACCTTGCTATAGTTGTCCCGTTTGACACATGCGCATTGATATTTTCATGATCTATTTTTAATATTCAATTCTTGTGTCTCTGGCTTGAAATATCGTTGGGTTTTCTTACATCAAGTCCAACTAGAAAAGAATTCTATAATTTTCTGTCTGCGTCAAATAAACGCCCGATATAGATCGCATGAAAGAGTGAGGAACGCGTTAAAAAGAAAACAGAAAAAGATACATCAGAGAAATTTGAATATTCTATGAATACAATTGAAATATTGCGGAATATCAATCACACTTTAATTACACTGACACGAGATTTGGCAAATGAAATTATCTTTAATATATATCGTTCTATAATAGATATATTTAAAATTAAAGAGATTGTGCTCCTCGTGAAAATCAATTTTCAAAAAAACCTACCCTTCTCATGTCCACCGACCCCTTTGCATGCATTCCCTTCGATCTAGGGTGAAGAAGGTAAAAGGGAGGAGGGTCGGATCAGACTATATATCGATGAAACTTGTATATTTGCTTTTGTAATGTGTGCGTTAACGAGACATACCGCGAAGTTGGATATTAAACATCGAGGATTATTTGATTACAGCCTCACGAATTTACACGAATCCGATTCTCCTACCAGTTAGCGCCATTTTCTCTCGCATATACACGCTCTCTCTCTCTCTCTCTCTCTCTCTCTCTCTCCTCCTCTCT